TATGGCAGAGGGGTTGGAACTGGGTGATCCTTGTGGTCCCTTCCAACCCTGACAGATTCTGATCTGTTTTAGCAGAGGACTTTAGAGCCCTAATGGCTCAATGGTTGGACTTGATCTTAAAGGTCTCTTCCAACCTAAAGGATTCTATGATTCTATGAATTGGCAGAGATCACGTTACTACAGTCAGGAACAGAAAAGAAAGGAAGCCCTCTTGTGTCTGTTGCTGTGTCTTACCAAGTTAAAGGGTAAAACAAACCACTGTCTTTCTCTGGCCCCTGACACACAGTAGCAAGGAACAGCCAGCACCCCACCTCTGCTGTGCCCCTCGGCAGTGTCTGCCTCCTCTGTTACCTTCTGAACGGGGCTGGGTTTCAACTGCAGATCTTTTTTTTCCCTGGCTTCTCACAGTGCTGACCTCTCCCTGACAAGAGGCTGGGCACCATCACTATGACACCTGCTGAGGCTGTTCCTGCCCCTGCCCCTCAGCTCCACTGGCCGAGGCAGGGACAACCAGGTCACTGGATGGCAGCAAGAGCCGTTGGGCTTCGCATGCAGATAGAGCACGTATGTGTTGAATCTGGATCTAGTTTTATTGCCTCCATAAGCAAAATCAGCTAGAAAACAAAACCACAAGCATTTTACGCTCTGGAATATAAGTGATGTTGCTACCATAAAGCTCACCTGAAACAGGAGGGACGAGAGTTGCTTCTTGTCTGGGCACCCCTGCAAAAGCCAGGGCTAGCAGTGATTTCAGCCCTAGCTGGGTGGTGGCCAGGGAAAAACATCTTTCCTACTGTAGGCAAGCTCAAACTACTTTTATACTTCTTTTCATTTACATCCTAGACCTGTTTCAAATCAGACTCAGACGTGAAAAATATCTTCAGGAAACTGATACGGGAATACTAAGCAAAAAAGAAGAAGGCAGGATACTACATTTTGAAAGTGCCAAGTATGAAATACTCCACTCCAGATTAAATTCAGAAAAATACAACAGAGTTATTTCCTAACCTTATGAGAGTCTTGCAAGGAAAAAAAAAAAACTTTGTTCAGTAACTAAGCACTGTCACTTATGCTTGATTCCATTTTTTGGGTACAGACTTTATTTCATGCTTCCTGATGAATAAATATCATTCCTTTCCTTACTATAAACAAAACCCAAACCTTTTTTCTGCTTTTGCAGCAGCACAGCTCCTCTTTGCTGCTAATAGTGTGCGTGTGCAATGACAGGGTGGGACAGTAGCAGCAGCCCTCAAATCC